ACAAGGATCTCTCGCATCGTTCCATCGCTAAAACGTTGGGAATCGCGAATTCCACGGTGTCGCGAGTGATTAAGCGGTTCGAGGAATGGTTGACCACCGATCGGAAGCCTAGAAGTGAAGGAAAAAGTATTCCGTACAACACCAAAAATCACAACCGCGTAGTTGGGGCCTTCAACCGAAATCCGAACGCCTCCGTTAGGGATGTGGCTAAGAAGCTGCACCTAAGCCGAAGTTTTGTCCAGAAGGCCAAAACTAAGGCTGGGCTTCGAACGTTCAAGGTACAAAAGGCCCCTAATCGCGACGAGAAGCAGAACAAGTCCGCCAAAACCCGTGCCAGGAAGTTGTACCTCAACAAGCTGACGAAAGTTGAATGCTGCATCATGGACGACGAAACATATGTGTAGGCCGACTTCAAACAGATCCCCGGCAACCTGTTTTTCACGGCCAAGGATAAGTTCAGCGTTCCGGAGCATGTCCGCACTCAGAAGATGTCCAAATTTGCGAAGAAATTCCTGGTTTGGCAAGCCATCTGCACGTGCGGGAAGCGGAGTGCACCTTTCGTGACCCAGGACACGATGAACGGACAGGTGTACATAAAAGAGTGCCTCCAGAAGCGGCTGCTTCCTCTCCTGAAGGCCCACAACGTCCCAACAATCTTCTGGCCGGATTTGGCCTCATGCCACTACTCCAAGGACGTGCTGAAGTGGTATGCGGACAATAAGGTCAATTTCGTGCCGAAAATGTTCAACCCTCCCAACACTCCGGAGCTCCGCCCCATCGAGAAGTACTGGGCGATTATGAAGCAGCACCTTCTTAAACGACCTAAGGTAGTGAAGACAGTCGAGGAACTGAAGAAAGTATGGGTTTACATGCAAAAAACGGTTGATTCACAGGTTGTGCAGAATCTTATGGCCGGGGTTAAGGCCAAGGTGCGGGCATTTGCGTATGGACTGTAAATAAAATACGAGTAAAATGGTAAAATGAAGTTTAATAGTTATTTCTCAATCCCTGAAAATTTGATGGCAATCGGATGAAAACTCGAATTTTGCGAATCAATTTTGTGTGTGGCAATTTCATCGTGGACACCCTTTATTGAAAATGTCTGGTGGGAAATGGAAAAAGGAAATCAGAAGATTGGAGAAGCAATTTTATTGAACATCGACGGTGGAAAATTTGCATCGTTCTGATCAATTTTAATTTTCTGGTGGTAAAATGTATGGGGGCAAGCTGAATTGAAAATTCCTGATGTAAAAATTGCACAGTTCTGGTAAATGGAGGGGCAAGCTTTATTGACCGTTTCTGGTAGAAAAACTACAACGTTTTGGAGAATGGGCGGGCATCTTAAACTTGACTTCCGACGAGAACCTCAAGGGTATTGAATTCTGAGGACAGTTCTAAAAGAAACGATTTCTGGGGATGATTCCATGAAAATCAAATTTTGAATGAAATTCCAAAGGGATGTTGAGAAAAATTTCAAGGGAATTCCGAGGATAATTCCAAGCTCATTCTGGGAAGAATTTCTGGAGAATGCAGAGGAAATTCTTCTGGAACCTTGGGGGGGGGGGGGGGGGTGATTTCAGTTCCAAGGTGTTGCGAGAAAAAAAAAAAAGTTCTAAAATATTCCGGGAAGAACCTCAAGGATATTCAATTCTTATTACAGTTCCAAAATATTTCTGGGGAGAATTCAAAGAAAATTTTTCACTAGAAATTCATCTTGCAGATAGTTTTAAGATAACTTCAAAAAGAATACCGAGAAAATCAAATTTTGAGGGAAATTCCTAGAGGATTTCAAGCAAAATTTCAAGCGAATTCCAAGGATAATTTCAAGGTGTTCTGAGAAAAAACTCAAAAAGAGTTCTAAATATAATTCCAGTGGACTTCTGAAAAGAATTTCGAAAGAGCTCTTAGGAGAGTTCTAAAAATAAAACCCTAGAAAAACCTCAAGGGTATTGAATTCTGAGGACAGTTCTAAAAGAAACGATTTCTGGGGATGATTCCATGAAAATTCTGCGGATAATTTCTAGTTAATCCTGCAGACAAGAATTCCGAGAGAATCAAATTTTGAATGAAATTCCAAAGGGATGTTGAGAAAAATTTCAAGGGAATTCCGAGGATAATTTCAAGCTTATTCTGGGAAGAATTTCTGGAGAATGCAGAGGAAATTCTTCTGGAACGTTGGGGGTGGGGGTGGGGGTGGGGCATTTCAGTTCCAAGGTGTGGCGAGAAAAAAAAAAGTTCTAAAATATTCCAGGAAGAACCTAAAGGATATTCAATTCTTATGACAGTTTCAAAATATTTTTGGGTAGAATTCAAAGAAAATTTTACGGATAATTTCTAGTGCATCTTGCAGATAATTCCAAGATAATTTCAAATATAATATCGAGCAAATCAAATTTTGAATGAAATTCCTATGGAATTTTAAGCAAAATTTCAAGCGAATTCCGAGGATAATTTCTAGTTCATTCAGTTCCAGGGTGTTCTGAGAAAAAATCATAATAAACATAATTCCAGTGGACTTCTGAGAAGAATTTCAAAAGAGCTCTTAGGTGAGTCCTAAAAAAAAAATCCGAGAAGAACCACAAGGATATTGAATTCTGAGGACAGTTCCAAAGGATTTCTGGGGAGTATTCCAAGAAAATTCTGCGTATAATTTCTAGTGAATCCTGCAGATAGTTCCAAGATAATTCCGAAAAGAATACCGAGAAAATTGAATTTTTAGTGAAATTCTAAAGTGATTTTGAGGAAAATTTCAAGGAAGCTTCGATAGTTTCTGACTTATTCCGGAAATAATTTTTTTTTGAGGAAATTCTTCTGAAACTCTAAGGGAATTTCAGTTCCAAGGTGTTCTGAGTAATAGTCAAGAAGAGTTCTAAAAATAATTTCAGAGGACTTCTGAGAAGAATTTTAAATGAGTTCATAGAGTGCTAAAAATTTCGCAACTGTCCAAAGTTTAAAGTCAGCTTTTGGATTCCCTAATTGAAAAGTGGGTATTAGTTTGCCATTGAACCAACAATCAATATGAAACCACAGACATAACACATTGAATATTTCTCATTGTAAAACATCGTCGCTAAAACATTATCGCCATCTGTTGAGTACACTGTGGTGGGTAGTACGCTGAAAAGATGGCGGTAGTGTTTAAACGTCAAACGCAAGGGATTTGACTATGCGCGCCACAGGTAGTACTGCCTACCAACTGAGATACTTTTAAATTGACCGTTGAATGCTTGTTCGATGAACAACTTGTAAGTGTTATGTCTGTTTGTCTGTGATGAAACTATCGATTTTAATTTGGAACACTACTTGACTAGCCTATTAGTCCCAAGCAAATCGATAAACGTACCCCATTCTAGTCGAAATTCTATTACTACACTATGTTTGTTTTGATTAGCTATGAAAGTTTGACAGATAAAATGAGGGGTCCGTGGATTTTCCTATGTTTCGAGGGGTGCATCGATTAGCTTGGGACCGAAGATAGTACCAAAGCTGAGCCAAAAAGTTGAGCACGTTTCTTCGGGATCTTCTGGTCTTAGAGTTACCTCTATGATTGAACCTTGGTCTATTCTTGTCTTCAATCGTCTAAGAATCTTCTCTGAAAATTTCAAGTAATTTGTTACGGTGGTTAAAAAGTTACAGCTGTTTATGTGCGTTGCAATAAATTCGGGTTTGTCCTTTATATCATCTTTAAAATATGTTGAATGTTCGGCATCATTTTCTGTCACCCCAACTGGCGGTACTTTGGGACGGTTCATCATCGACATAATCGATGGGATTAAATTGCCAATTTCCATTGGCTGTCCGAAAGCAGTTTGCATTGAAGAAGATGAACCACCACCGGAGCAAAAAATAAATAAAATTAGGTAAATTAAACCGTAGTGGTGGGTGGACAGCACCATCTCCCACGCACTTTGGAGTACTCCTCATCCCCAGATTAAATGCACCATAGAAGAAAAAAAATTGCCCCTCCTTAACAAGGTTCCTGTGCACGCTAGTCTTTCATGAACTGGCTGTGTTGGTGTTAGATTAGATTAGATCCAATATGTCAATGATTGACCATTAGGCAAAATTTCATGCAAATCGGAGAAGATCGATCTTGTTGCAGACTTTTTCTTAAAACCTTCTGTCATCCCAGTGTTCAACCCTGTCGCAGTTCATGCAGCAGCAATAGTCGAGTACACCACACTCTGAAACAGCATCATGCATGCTGCTGGTGACAGTATTAACCAGTGTATTCGCGTCACGAGACATGAGCATGACAGAGCCGAACGAAATGTCAACCCAGAACAACATCCACATCAACTAGTACGAACGCGTCGCTTGTGGTGTACCGCACATATGGCCTACTTCGGGCGCTCGCACAGGGTGGGGGGGCATTGCAGCCCAGAAGAAAAAGTGTCAATGACACAGCGACTTCCGGATCACTCACTATTAGCGATGGGTACCGATTAGAGCTAAATGTGTGCAGGCGAGGTGAGGTGGTGGCGCAACAAAGTAGGGTTGGGCAATCGATTGCTTCAACTATGTGTCTACTGGCCGTAAACAAAAACTTTGTCCACCTCGTACACAGCTGCACTGTTACCTATATATTGGTAAATATAAATACACGACAATCAACAGGAACTAGAACAGCTTCACTGCCGACGACGCCGTCGTCGTCGTCGTTGACGTCTGATGATGTTTAGCTAAGGTTTTTATTTACGCTGATAACAGTTTTTTTTTGTAATTACATTTTTAAAACTACCACTAACTCTCTCACCGCTCGCTAGAAGGTATGTGTTAGTCTAGAGAGAAATAAGGTTTTTTTTTAGTAAACAACGCTCTTTGTGTTTATATTTTTCAAGCAGTGAAAAGGATTCCAAGGGACGGTGGAATGGGGGGAGGTTGAGGAAACGTGATCAAACTGAACGGGCGTGATAAGCAAAATACCGCTCACTCGTTCGAGAGGTGTTAGCGCCATTGGGGAAGTGACGAGAGCAGTGTTGCCATCACGCCGAACCTACCGTTGATGGTAGCTGCCCCGATTGGTTCTAATCATTTCGGCGAGATCCATTCATTCGCACCAAGTTGGCGAGTGTGTTCAAGTACAACTATACAGGGAGAGACAGAAAGAGAGAGAGAGCCTACTGCGATCAACTGCGCACATGAACACACGCGACGCACACTTGTGTTTTGCAACCGAATTCGTTCCAGACGATAAACAAAACAAAAAATCACTTGTCTCAAGTAAACAACCGACACTACATTGAAAGAATGGTTCTGTTGCTTCTTTTTGTGCTTCTGCTTCTTGCGCTGCCGGAGCCAGAATTGTTTATCGACAAGAACTTGTCGTCACACTCACGGTGGGCTGTAAACAACGCACACGAGTACGACCACTGCACGAGCAAAAATTGCGAAATCAGCGTATTAATTCATTCTCCGAAGCGGGAGGTTACTACAATACAATGCACAACTTCGGTAGGCGAGCTTCCGATACGAGTTAGACAACACAATCACGCTCGCTCACACGCTCTTCGTTAGAAATAAGTCACTTCGTGGAGCACTTGATGACACTTGTTTTTCTTTTAAAATGAATTGTCAAATAATTCCACCGAATCCACTAATCATAATCGACGACCTAGATCGACCGCACTAGACGCTTCCGAAGGCAACTCCACTGAACGACGCCTGTACGAGAAATGGAATCAGGAGAAAGAGAGTTCGCCACTCGTTCGCACTGCGAATGTTCTCATGGACTAAAGTGGCCTGGGCCAGTTTTCCCGATCGAACCCGCCGCCCGAGAGTTGCAGAAATTCTGCACTCACAGCACAAACATCATACCTTATGTGTCGGGCAGGAGCAGGAGCTTTTCGCAAACGAGTGCAAAAGCAAACCCACAAGTGTCGTATTTCACAGCGGTGCAGCACCATCACCATCGCAGCCACGACACGACGAGAGCGGAAATTCTCCGACTGCTGCGATTATTATTCATCGTTGCCCACCCTGCCAGGGGGAGAGTGAGCTTTCTTCGTTTCACTTTCCACTCGTTTCCACCTGAGCATCAGCGAGAATTCGCGATCGCCATCAACCAACACACTCGAAGCTGGAGAGCCGGCAAAACGGGGGCCCCACCTACTCTTCTCGCAGCGCAGCGAAAGAGCTTTTAAGGTGCACGATCGCACTGTGGCCTTAATTATTATCATTGCCTGCCTGCCTGCTGAGAGCCTTTGTGGACTCCGAAAAGTTACAGTTATCACAACCCGATGAGCCTAATTGAATCGTTGGCGGCCGCGGATCCTCGGAGGTCGATGACTTGCATTGATGAACTGGATGAACATTTCAAAAGGTCCTATTGTGTTTGACGTTTTGGACGCTGGGGCACTAAACCCCTTGATTATCAAAAGGACCTTCTGAAATGTTCATTTGGAACTGCACGAAATGCCAGCGGGAACAGCGAAATTGTGCGCTAATTATGGCTTTTATCTGGATCGACCGATGCGCGACCGCAAGGGCCCCCCCACAACCAAAGCGGTTTCATTGAACAAATCGCGAGGCTTCAAAAATTATGAATGAACATCGGCGATCGCGTGGAAGAGAGAGAGAGGGAGAGCGAGTTATTTCACTACCATCATGGCAGTAGTCATCGATTGGGATTGTTGGGCTCTGTGAGGGGGGGGGGGGAATCATTATGACTTGTGGCTGCGGCGGCGGCGGCTTGGCCCAGGGCGTAAAGTGCTTTGTGTCTCAATTTTTTTTTTTCGGTGCTGCCAAGGAGCGTTTCGATTCACGATGTTTACCTGGAAGCTGTAAAATTGGAAACACGATCGATTGATCAGACATTTGAGGATGGATTGTTGCGGTAATTGGATGGAAGCGCAAAATGTGAGTATGTGTACTCCGAGTATGCGAGAAGATGCTTTTTTTTGCCGCTCATTGTGGAATGAGCTTTGTAAGAATAGGGTTGTAAGAAGCGGAAGAAAAGAGCCTGCGAACAAAGTGTCATAGTGTGCCATGGATGGTTGGCTTGGCTTGTGGGAAAATGTATCATTAGAAGTCAACAGTTAGTTTCAAGCTAATTTAACTTATGTTTAAAGCATATGAATACAATTTATCAAAAGTTTTTTTTTTAAAGCTGATTCTACCACCTGGTGAAAGAACTTTTCACTCTTTAAAATCTTAGTTGTCTCTAGATCCTATGTGTTTGTAGATGCATACCTGAAAAGAGATGAAAGGAGAATAAGACGATTAATGAAACGATAATAATAGCAAGTGTTTGAAATTTGTTGTTTAAAATATATGTATCGATATTTTATAACCTTTTCCAGATCAAATGGCACAAATAAAATTGAATTTCAGACTCGACCTTTTCCGATTTTCGAGAAACTTTTATGGTCAATCATTCCAATTTCAGCTAAAATTCAGCACTGTCATGGTAAATTGAGTGCTGAATTTACCATTTTTTCATATGGGGGACCCTCACCACCTCAAATCCATGCACGCCATTAAGAAGCGCCCATAGTCTACGATGTTTTATGACTAAGTAGTACCGTCTTTCGTGCAGTACAAAAAAAACCTTCCGATATGAAACTGTGCTGATCCCTGGATCAAAAAGTTGGTAATGATGATAAAACTGTAATCAACACTTTTTCTCGAAACGAAACTAATTCATCAAGGTCTTTAAACTTCCTTGAAAGCCTAGACTTTTCTGAAGTTTTCGGAGCTTTGTCTATGAACTTCATTAAGCTTCTCTAGACGTCACTGAACTTCTCAGTTCCCTCAATTTTCCTAAAGTTAGCTGGTGTGCAGTAACTTCAACTTTGATCTACCCTGTTATTTCCCTGAAGTTTTCGGAAATTCCTTGAAGCTCATAGAACTTCCGCGGCCAACTCACGCAGTAGTTCAACGGTTGTTGCCCAAAATGCTTCTCCACACACCGATGTCAAGCTCCCTCGGATGAATCTGCCTACATTTGGAGGTAACATCCTCGAATGGCCTTCTTTTTTTGACCTGTTCGACAGTGCGGTACACAAGAACGTGGCTCTACAGCATAGTCAGAAGCTCTACTTCCTCAAGACCAACCTTGTCGAAGAAGCCGCCGCTCTGATATAGCACCTTCGTATAGAAGACGCCAACTATGCTCCCGCTCTAGCCAAGCTGAAGGCTAGTGTGCAACTTACCTTGTGAAGAGCTGGTCCGAAAGTGAGTGGAGAGTTGCCCGTGTGTGTTTATGAAGCGTTGCCATAGATACCTCTGTTTACCAGCATTGAACTGCTGCGCTTACAACGGAGGGCTGCACACATGGCTTGCTGACTCGTTAAGCGTCAAGTTAAGACCTGCTTACACTAGCGCTAATATATGCCACACAGCTAGGTACAACAAGCCGCTCGAAATCGCTGCACAGTACATTCATCGGTTCTGGAATGAACAATCCATGACGTCACCATCAGCTGCCGGTTTGCGCTCCCTACATGATGTGTCCGATGAAGTTATTCGAGCACTGGAGGCCATGAATCCGGAAGGAAGGGATATATGGTTGCTGTACATTCTAGCCGAAAAACTGGATCCTGAAAGTAAGCAGTTGTGGTGTCAAAAAAGGTCGGAGCTCAACGAACAAGTTACCTTGGAGAAGTTCCTGAAATTTATCGATGCCCGTTCAGCCGATCCGTCAGAAGAAACCGATGTTCATCACGCCACTTCCAAGCAAACATTCTACCAGGGGAGCAACAGCTCTCGTCACCACCGGGCACCTCTCTCCTCCACTAATGTGCGTTTTTCGTGCAAAATCACCGCATCAACTGCATTAGTGTGGTAAGTTTCTTCATGTCAGCTTCGATGAACGACTCCATTTTATCCGTAGGCAGAACCTCTGTGAGAACTCTGAACATTCCGGCGAACTCTTGCCACACTCGTCTGCACGAAGCACTCCAATCGACTGCCGCTTCAACGCCAGGCAACAGTACAGCGGCCAAAACCAATATCTATGGTTCGTCTTCGATGTCGCAAACATTGATTGCACCGCTCTGTCGAGCAACCGATTTCATGGACATCAACGTTCAACTCCTGATCGCAACCCTCAACGTCTTTGACAAGTTTGGACGTCCACATGCTTGTCGAGCTTGACCTTGATTGCGCGTCCCACACAGCCACTGAAGATTTGTGTAAGAAATTGTGTCCCTCCACTGCCGATGTGGACTTCGAGTTCGGTGGAATTACTAATACTTCTGGGCACGCGAATAAAGCAGCACGTTGCTCAGACTATCCGAATGTAGTGCCGTTCATTATTCTTGAGCGACTTACTTCTGAGCTCCCGTTAAAGCCAATCAACATCACGGATTCGCCAATTCCAGGGTCGATTCAGTTGGCTGCTTCGGGTCACTGCTCGCATTCTCCGGTTGAGGTATCCTGACTCTCGATAGATTCCTCGTCTGTTACCATGGGAGCTTGATCGAAACCAAACAGTTTACATTCGCCACGCACTTTCGTGAAGAGCTGGATCGTCTGCGGCAGCAAGGAGAAGTGAGTTCGCCCAGCAGTTTGCACCAACTCAAGCCGTTCCTGGACGAACAGGGTATGCTCAGGGTGGGCGGAAGACTACAACAGGCAAGTCTCAGCTACGACGTTCGACACCCTATATTGATACCTCGCCATTCTATCCTCATCTTATCTGTAAAACCATGACCACATCGTCCATCACCACTGCGGGCCACAAACACTGCTAGCCGTATCCCGGAGGAGATTTTGGATCATCAGTGGTGCAAGTGCAGCAAGGACAGCTTATCGTCAGTGTGTGACGTGTGCACGTGCTAAGCCAGTACCAACGTATCAACAAATGCCATCTGATCGAGTTCAACCAAATCCACCATTTGCGATTACTGGCGTGGACTGTGCCGGTCCAGTCAGCATTGTTGGACATAGGACCAGAGGTGCGAAACAAAGCAAGTCGTACATCGTACTCTTTGTTTGTTTTACAACAAAGGCCGTGCATATGGAAGCTGTGTCTGAGCTTACTACTGCAGCGTTCTTAGCGGCATTCACTCGATTTTCCAGCCGCTACGGTTTGCCAGCGAAAATGTTCTCGGACAACGCAACGAACTTCCGAGCAACAGCTAAGCACCTTCGAGAAATGTACGCGCAGCTCAACTCTTCTATAAACAACGATGAAGTGGTCGACTTTCTAACCGATAAGGGAGTGGAATGGAACTTCATTCCAGCTCGGTCTCCACACCATGGAGGATTATGGGAGTCAGCAATCAAGGTTGCTAAGCAGCATTTGTCGAAAATCACCAGCAGTTACATCTTTACCTTCGAAGAACTGGCCACGCTGATAGCTCAAATTGGTGCCACCATGACCTCGAGGCCCCTTACACCGATCTCCAATAGCCCGATGGATGCTCAACAGCTCACTCCTGCTCACCTTCTGATCGGTCGTGCATTCACCACCGTTCCCGAAGTCAACTTGCTGGAGCGGCAACTTAGCTCGATGTCACGCTGGAACTTCGCACTAGATGGCAGACAGAATACGTGCGATCTCTGCAGCGGATGGCAAAGTGGCAACGTTCATCCCACAACGTTTCGGTCGGGGCGACTTCGTTCTACTGGTGGACGACAATTCGAAGCCAAAGCAATGGCCTACGGGTAGAATCATCGAAACCTTCCCAGGAGCAGATGAAGCAATCAGAGTGGTATCAGAGCCATACCATTGGATCAGGATGAGTATGTTCCAAGAAGACTTCGATCGGAGATTTTGTGGGCGGATTATGTTCGA